GAGAGAGAGACTACGCGCCGATTGTAAATATCTATTACATTAGGACTTGCAGCGAATTGAAATAATAATAATCTTATAAATTAAATCTGATCAATTTGAAAAACTTTTATTGCGGAAAATATTACTAATTTATCTTTGTATTTTAATAAAATATTATTAATTTAATTTGCAAGGTTATTATTATTATTAGGTATTATTATTTTAGTTTGTATTACAAGTCCAAAAGTAATAGGTACATTTTTACTACGACACACAATTACATATGTATATCTGAAATAAATGTAATATTTAGAATAAATTACAATACATATAGAATTATTGTATTCAAATATCTATAACTTTGATCATTTAGTTAACTGATTTATTCATATAAAAGTCTTGTTTCTAACTTATTATCTGTTATTTAAATCTAATCTCTTTATCTTTTTTAAAATAGAGGTTTTATAATTGTGCGGTCTGAACTTCGCGACAATCTCATTTAAAAAATCAAACACGTTCACATTAAATGCTTTTGCGTAATTAATTATCACGAAGAATAGGCACACGTATTGCGTTACATTGACCTTCGCATTTGTTTATGACATTTATTCCCGATCGTCGTGTTTTCTCTTTCATGAATCGTGTATAAATATTATTAAAAAATATCGCACCATTTTTCTCCCGCGCGCAAAATATCGAATTTTTCACGACAAAGCTTGGAAACTGCAAAACAACATAATTCAACGCAGTTGTTCAAATAGAAAAGTAATAATTTTATTATCATCTTTATGCAAAATGTCCTACAGGGTGTCCTAAAACTAATGGTACAACCGAAAATGGATGATTCAGATGATTCTACACAAAAAATAATTAAACATAAATCTAACTTTTTTAAACAAAATTTTGTTTTCCAAGAAAAACTGAATATCCTGTCATGAATATGCGATCACATTAAATTTATTGTATATCAAAATGATATTGCACAAAAATATTGTCAAACAATTGAAAATAAAGATTATGATATTTTTCGAGTATTATTAAATGCTTGTTACTTAATTCGTGATATTATGTGTACTCCAGTTTCAGTTTCAAGAAATGACTAGTAATCGGCGCGCAATTTGCATAAATTGGAAATTGTAAAAATTCACGCAAAAATATTATTAGATATTCGCTTTAGGCCGAATAAGGCTTTCTTCACTTAGTCACGTATCGATGGATTCTTCAATTGTCATTGAAAATTTAATTACGTGAAAAGTATTGACACAAAAATACAAAGGACATCTATTTATAGGAGATATATAACGAGCAATAATTTTCAACAATTTTTATGATAATAAAATAAAATTCTTAATCTTATTTTATTATATTCTTTTGATATTTGTAATAATTGGATTTAAAATCATAAATACGTGCACGTCAAAGTGCATGTGTTGCACCCAACGAATATACAAAATTATTTTTCTGAAAAATAAAGCTTCGTATAAAGAAGTTTTATTCTACGTTTTCAATTGATTTTTTTCATGTAAGATCATTTCCTTACAGTTTATATTACAAGTTCTGGAACATCGTGCATAAGCGTTTCGCACAGAGAAAAGATAATTTCGTTATCTAAAAATTTAATTACAATAGACCTGAAAATAATTTCGTTGGATCATCAAAATAATTATGTACGACTCAAACTAGTTGTTAGAATGTCAAAACTTTTTGCAACATTGCTCATCATGCTTGAGATTGCTACGTAATTATTTAGATGGTCCAACACAATTATTTTCAAATCTGTATCTAGCTAAATTTTTCTAAATACTTGAACAAAATCATTCTTTTCGTGCAGGGATGCTAAGCGAAAGAATTGCGTCGCAAGCTTGATCGAAGAAGTTTGAAGATTCGAGCATCAGGAAAATTACGAAAGGTGATACATCGAAGATCATCGATGACACTCGCTGTGTCGCAAGACAAGTAAATATTTCATTCCAGTGACGATACAACAGCGTTTTGCAACGTCGATTTGAATAAAGACGCGCCGCGAAAAAAAAAGCAGAAGAAATATAATACAATACATCCGGAATAGCAAGTTATACGTCTACAGAAACGTACTCTCTCTGCTCTAAAATTAATCTCCTCTAATCGAGGCACACGAATTCGTTTTATTCAAATATACAGACGACGTAATTATATCTATTCTTACAGAGCCAGGTGTGCGATCAAGATCGTGATAATGACCGAAAACGTAATATACGAGGAATAAGCTATGTGTTCATCAAATGAAAAACGTACTCTTTCGATTGTGACCTTTTTCAAGCGATATATTCAAACATCTCGAACGCAGAATTAATGCATCCAGTAATAATGGAAGATGTATGTTTATCACTGCAAAACATTAGATATTAATGAACACATCAATGTGATCTCGGAATTATTTAAAATCAGTAAAAACCATTCGTCGATCTTTGAACAAAGACAAACGATGAAATATCTCATTTAAGATAGATTTAATTAATTTTCAGTATTAATTTTAAGAGAATTATCTGGAATTATTAGGAAATTAAAAATTCGAAATTTCTCAAGAATCACAGAGACAGTAGCCTCATTTCGTAATCTTTTCGTTAATAATAACACTTTAATCTAACTAATTTAACTTTAAATTTAACATCCTGTATGAAATAGAAATTTTGTAACTTTGGTAACCTTCGCAACGATCTTATTTTAAATAAACGCGGCCGCATTGTGTGCATTCAGAGTTGCGTTCGGAAATGATACTTCCGTGTATCATTTTATCCATGTTCACCCAATGTTAAACAAGGATAAGACGATACATGGGGGCACTCGGATAAGATTTCCAAATAAATACAAACTAGAACGACAATCGCTTACTAACAATAAGCGCTCAGTGACGATTGTTCTGAATCCACCCATTAATTCTTAAACGATCACAACGTATTGATATATTATACATAGATATAACATACCCTCAACCCAATTCGATTGTTTTATAACTTTTATAAACACGATCATACTATAAACATTGTTTTCAATCAAAACGCTAGATATTAGTGAAGGAACATTATCAAGTAAATGAAAATGTATCGTTATTAACAATCACAAGCAATGAAAAGAGGATAAGACATTTGGAAAAACTATAAGGTGTTTAAATGTGAATGACCAACAATCTCTAATAGATAACACCTTATATAAATACATCGACAATTTCAGGACGCCCTGTATAATCCCGATGAGATCAATCGAGTGGCTAATGTGCCTGACTCACGATTAATCTTAACGTCCTTAACGAGGAAAAAAAAGGGGAGAGCTCAACGAGCACGGGGCTCTGCGAGATACCGAGATATTAGAAATCGCGATTAACTCGATCGTCGGGAATACGACAGTTCCCACTTCCCGTCGTATCCTCGTCATCGCGAGAGTAAACAGACTGTTTGCGCGATAGAGAATTCGAAATCATCATTCCGATTTTCACTCCCTGTTTACGTTTCGCGAGAGACAGACATCGGTCGACGACGTTGTATGAACGTCTATATGTATGTATTGTACGTATGAGAGTTCGTTTGTACATAGTGTCGACGAGGACTCGTTAAGCAAAATACGTCTAACTCAAACGCTACGAACGGCGCAATACGGTGAAGCGAGCAAAACAGTTGCGGAGCTACGTCGTCGACAGGAAAAAACTCCTTGGCACTTGCGTGTATCACGGAATTGGCAGTAATACAACGATCGTCGACGACGGCAGCAGAACTCTGAAACGTTCGCGACAATGACAGAACGTACAATTGAAGGATTGCTGCGACAGTGACCTAACTTACTTTTTATAAAAACGGAGTAAATAAACTCTAACTCATTTACTTTTCAAGTTTGAGTTTCATAACATAGTCTTGCGACGTTGGTATTTTTTCTATCACTTTAATTTTAGACTTTATTTACTCAATTTTTATCAAATGTAAATTAGTCCACTGTTGCAGCAAGCCCTTGAATTTTCCTGGAAGAAGAAACAATGCGGGCGGAATGCGTAATAGAGGAGAGATAAGATAAATAGATAAATAGCAAATTTTTTAGCTCCGGTTACCGGTAACATGGTCCCCTTGACAATTGCAATGTAGAGAGAGAAAGAGAGAGAGAGAAGAGAGAGAGAGAAGAGACAGAGAGAGAGAAAGAGAAAGACATGTGATATCACACGAAGGTCCGTCATTTCTGTTCGCTGTGTGCATTTCGTGTGGCATACGAAAGTGCCCACCGCAGTCGAAGTGGGTATCGATTCGGACAAAACAATTGTAGTCAAGTCACGGTCATAGCGACTGAGGTACACTTCTACGCACTTGCAATGGTACCGAGGCCGTATAGAGTCGCCGTGTAGAGTCTTTAGTCACCGCCCAACTCTCAGTCGTCGTCGTCGTCGTCGTCGTCGTCGTCGTCGTCGTCGTCGTCGTCGTCGTCGTCGTCGTCGTCGTCGTCGTCGTCGTCGTCGTCGTCGTCGTCGTCGTCGTCGTCGTCGTCGTCGTCGTCGTCGTCGTCGTCGTCGTCGTCGTCGTCGTCGTCGTCGTCGTCGTCGTCGTCGTCGTCGTCGTCGTCGTCGTCGTCGTCGTCGTCGTCGTCGTCGTCGTCGTCGGAATCGTAATCGTTATCGCAAGAAGAGAAACACGATGTATAGAGTTTGTCCTACCGTATGGGGTAACACTCCCGCGTCGCTGTCATGCCTCCACGTCGTGTTGTTCCCGTGTACGTGTTACGTGCGTGTATGTACGTGCTCACTCGCACGCGCACCCGTCCGTGTGTCCGTATGTACGAGTGTGATTGTGTGTGTGTGTGTGTGTGTTGTGTGTTGTGTGTTTGTGCGTGTGTATGAGAGCGGCCGTAGAAGTGCGAGAACAGAAACCACGGCGATATTAAGACCAGACGACGGACACACACGGCGTAGTATACGATACACACCGACTGAAAGCGGAGAAGGAAACACTCGCGTGCACGACGTACGACACACGCACGCACGCATGCACACACGCGTTCTTTACCACTGATACACTCTTGGTTTAGAGCGCGCGCATCATCCTCGCTCACTCGCGAGTTCAGGAGCGAAACACTGCGAGTCTCTCCGCGCACTCGAGACACAACACCTCATCTGAGAGAGTGACGCACCACGAACTGCCACGAAGGCACGAACGGCACGAACTGAATCCTAACCGACTGAGCACTGAGCACTCCGAGCAGCTCCGAAACGCGGAACGGAAGAATGGAGGGGTTGCCAGCCGTAATGTGGGGGAACTATCATTCCCGTACCCCGTGCCCCCTGCCCCCTGTTCGTGGTGAGACGAAAGATTGAGAAGGGGCTGCATATCGCAGGTGCGGACGCACAACGTCAAGTACCATGTACATTGTTAAATCTATAATGTCAAATTTAATCTAACGCGAGTCGCCACTGCTCCTATTAAATATATCGTTATTTAAACAATGTTACTAAAACAATGGTTATATTTGACATTATACAGTGTCAATTTAACACTATATATCAGTAGTATCAAATTGACACAATATAGTGTCAAATTTAACTATTGTTTTGATAAAAAATAACGATATATTTAGTAGAAGCAGTAGCGACTCACGTTAAATTTGACACTATAGATTTAAGTGTACAGATTTCAGAACTTTCATCTAAAAATACACTAGAAATAATATCCGGAAAATATTCGATATCAGATATCCGGTATTATCTGATATTTTTTATTATCTGATCGGATAACCGGATATTATCATTAGCATCCGGCTATATATGTATATCCGACTGAAATTCTATAAGTTTGAAAGTTTGCGTTATTAATATAGAATTCTATTCTTTTCAGTTAAAATTCTTGCACACTTATAGTTTTGCATAGTTATGATTTATGCCAATAATCGAAATAAATTATCGTCATCGGAAAATTCTGAAAAATTATTGTTCGTTGTGAAAAATCTATTAATATTAAACTTTGATTACTAAGCATTGTTGAAACTGTATTGCAAACAATCTTATTCCACACAATCGGTCAGTTATTATATCGCTATTTTTTTTTGCTTTCCCTTTTTTTTTAAGAATTTTGAACAGAAAATATCCTGTATCTAGCCGGATAATTGCCTACTGGATATCCGGTGTCATATTCTTTTCATATTTAATATTTAAGAATGCATTTCAAAACTTGATTCTATCAACTTCGAGTATTCTTATTTTTGTCATGTTTTCAACAGTCGATGAACAACAAGGATAAAATGATACTCGGATTGACAGAGTCAAATTTTGGAACCTGGTAATTTTATAATCCCGTGCATTCCTACTTCCAATTACGTTGTGAAAAAGATACTTGAGATTACGTGAGTATAAAATTTGTATAATTTATAACGACACATATCAACATTTGTACTAAATAAAGTGGATAATTTTTACCTTTCTTTGTTACAAAAAAACTGCACACTAATGCATACTTGTTGTAATTTTTTACAATGTAAGATTGTAAATACGATTTAGATTCATTAATATTTGAATGATTAAGTCATCGAGATATTCGATTATTCGAATCAGATATTCAAATTATACAAACAATTCGGATTTTAATAAATTCGAAGAAACACATCAAAAGAACACAAAATTTCCGGTAGGAGCGGTTAAATCTATTTGAATCTATTTGAATCTACGAATCTATCACTCTCTATCTATTTGTTAATACGTAACTAAATTATTCAAAAACAAAGACAGAAAAAGAGACTGATTGCTTAGCTAGGTTTTATTTAATTATTCTTGCCTTTCTCTAAAAGAACATTCTCTACAGTGAAAAACATTGTTATAATACAATCTAAAGTATCGATCATATTAAAGCACAAGCTAATTGATGTATCTTTTTTTATCAAAATTGAAAGATATTTTAATTTACTGTTCACGTTTCTAAAAATTGTTTGAATTATACATATATCGTGACATTAGTTATCGACACGTTAAGTAATTTCTCCAATTCTTTTATTTTGTATAATTAATATTAAAAATATAGATAATGAAATTATATTTTATTTATTTAATAAATCTCTTATGTCCTCAATAAATATTATATGGTTTTCTTTAAAGTAATAATAAATTTGTAATAATTGAATAAAGTACGCAACTTGAAAAATCATAATAATCGACACATTAAGGAAATATTGGAGCCACCTATATTTCCTTAATGTGTCGATTATTATGATTTTTCAAGTTGCGTACTTTATTCAGATAAAATTAGCGTTTTTGTTCCTGTCGAATTTCTTTTTAGTAGTTTCACAGAATTAAAATTCTTTTTTCACAATTAAAATATATGCTAATATACTTGTCGCTGATGTATTTTTGTGTTCAAAATTGGAAAAAATAAAAAATTACAGAAACAAAAATATAAAAAATCCTAGTTTTATTGATAATACAGGCGACTTCAGCATCTCCTTAAACCGTAGCAGTTGACACTAGTAGAACGCAATCTTCGACAGTTATGTATACAGAAAATATAATTTGCATTAAGCTTTTCTACTGATTTATAAATGATCGAAATTTATGATGTATCTTAATCTAAAAAGTTAACGATAGGTATTGGTAAAAATGTGAAATCGCTTATGTGCAATAATAGGTATCAATTTTTACATTTACTCAGACCTTTTATATGTAACTAATTTGATTATTATATAAGCAACTTGCATTGCTGACCTTTTCATATTGTTTTATCTACAAATCTCTCAATTTTCACTAATTCTGATATCTAATGTGATATCGATAATTCATGGCATCACAATATTAGATAATATTAGATAATATTTATATGTTTAGTTTTGCTATGTGACTATAAAACATACAAACTATAAAGCAATCTTTTTGCATATATTATGTATAATAATATACATTATATGTATATGTATATGGAAATATTATATATATGTAATAATTTCACTCAATAAATTTTAATGCATTTTACAATTAATTTTCTACCAAATTTTTTGTAATTTGAATATATTCTAGATATGATATCACAAATTCACCTATTTGATTCTTTAGATACAATATATACAATTCAAATTTATGAGTAATCAGATAATAATCATTTTGGATAATCCGGATATTTATATTAACTTTATATTCAGATACTGAAACAATTTAAAGGAAACGGATATCTAATTAAAGTTTTTTTAACAAAAATATATGAAATAAGTAAAACAAAGGATCTGCACATTTATTCAAAAATATGAAAACTCAAACACGTGCATAACCTTATCATACCCCTGCAAGAAAAATATCAAATTATTCAAGAATAATTTAAAAAATTGTATTTTAGAATTGATTATTTATCACGGCAAGTAATACAAGTTAAACATAAATTATAATCTAAAATTAATCACAAATTACTTCAAGTTCTTTAAAAGTAAAAGTAATATAGATAATTTTTATTATGATGTTATGTTATCCTTAACAATTATTCCTATTTTGATTTGTTTCATTTTTTTCTTATATTATTTTTCTTTAAGAAATATTTGAAATTACTATTGACTTGTATCACTTTCCCTGATTGAAAGTAGATAACATTCTAGCAATGTATTTAGAATACAATTCATACATAATAGAAAATTCGAAAATTTTCGATTTTTGTCATTTTTCGTGCAATAAGTTAAAGAATCTTTTTTTTATAGAATATTTGAAATATGATAAGGAAGTAGTTGATTGTGTAACTGATCGATATAATAGTTTGTCACGAAATTTTCTTACCAAAAAAAGTTCCAAGCTCGTATTATAATACACTCCCCATTATATTTAAATTAATTGCATTTTCAATTATATTTCAACTATCAGTTATCTTTTTATCTAATAGGCATTGTATCAGTTGCAGTGAGAGCAGCATGCTGACTTCTACCATATGTAATATTCATGTAAATTTCTTACATACGTAATAAATTAAATTCAACTAAAGTAAATTAAATTATTATTCAAAAAATATTGCGCATGATACACGATATCATATTTTACTTTTATTACGAAAAGAACAAAAAGCTGAAATCTCAAAATTTAGATAGATGCAAATTTAAACATTTTATTGGACCAAAATAATTTATTGGATTAAAATAATTATATAGAAAATTCAAGTATTGTTAATGGAAGCACTGTTTTAAAAAAAAGTTTTGACATTCTAGCAATCAACTTGAGCATCTTAAGTATATAATTATTTTAATAATTCAACAAATGTATCTAGCTAAATTTTTGAATATTTCAACAAAACTGTTCTTTTTGTGTATAAAAATACTGAAAAAAAAATTTCTTAAATCTAAGTAATATTTTCTTCAATAGTACCAATTGTAAGTAACACTTTTCTATTGCAAATAAATATTTACTGTAAAAATTTAATGTAAACATACATTATTTGATTTAAGTACTTTATTTTTGGAATATTTATTTACAATAAAGAAATATTTACTTAGTACTATTTAAGAAAATATTACTTAAATTTTGGAATTTTTCTTTAAGTAAACTTTTGCCCAAGTCGACATATTATTAAATCAGACATATCATCATTTGTAGAATTATAAAATGAGGTATTTAACTTTGATACGGGTAAATTTAGTGATATTCGCCAATACTCATGGGAATCAAACAGCGAGATTGCTAGAAAGTAAAATACAATATACAATACGCAAAAGCGATATTATACGCCCCAATCTAATTATGGCAGCGCAACAATTGGAATAAACGCTACAAACTCTCTTATCCAAGTTATTACCGAAATATATCTCCATTTGATATATACATATCTCATCACTGACGCAAATAACACATCACACAGTCATTCCATTGTAAAGCGCGCAAAGCGATTCGTTATCAAATCTAAAACTCCATAGATCACGTTTAATGCACCAGTTAATCGTAAATTCATTAATAAAAAGCGCAAATTATTATTATTAGCAATCTCTCAATTAGTGCTATTTTATTTTCCTGCCATTTTTAATTTCAAGTCATTATTTTCCTACGTTAATAATGTCATTTCGATCGAATGTTTTTTTTATTTCATTCAAAGCTACTATATATAAAGATCGATTTAAAAAAAAGATTAGAAATGAGCTTAAAATCAATTTTATGCGAAAAATGAAATCAATGTTCAACAAAATTATTTATTTTCAAAACAAAAGGAAATTCTTATTTCATAATTAATTTAGAAATGAAGCGCATTTTTAGGTCAATTTATCAGGTTAAATTATCATATTTTGTGTATATATGAAAACTCCAAAACAGATACTTGTCATTTTCGAAGTCTATTATATTATCTATCTCCGCGTGCGCGTTTTAAGTGACATAAAAAATGTACAACTTT